CCACCCCCAATCATCCTGCAGTATACCAAACCCTGGTACATTGACAGGAGTTGAAGGAAGTGATGATGCCTTAGTGGGAAGTGCTCTTTAAAACCCAGAAAAGCTCCAGCAGCCCCAAGTGCCCAGCATGCAGGAATCCAAAAGCTGCAGCCCAGGCAGCCCTCTCCCCCCACCTTCCCAACACATTTGGGAGTCCCAGGTAGGGTAGCACCATGCAGATTTCAGCAGTAGTGCAGAAATGGTCTTTATTGAACTCAGTGTGAGAAGGAGCATCAGGAAATTGCTATTGGGGGCAATTGAGGACATCATTTTCCTCTACCTTGGTGGCCAGCCAGTTTGGGTCTTCATCTCCTGCTCCAGGAATAGTGGGGGAACTGGAGCATTTGCCACTGGGAGGCAGGGTGGGCTGGATATTCACTACCGCCCCCTGGTGGTGGTTTGACAGCACTTCAGTGCCTAAAAGGTGACTCTTCTACTTCACGATCTTGGGAGCTTATATGTGGACACTGAACTGGGCCAGTTATGAATCAGTTCCCAGTGACTGACACTCTTGGAATAGTTCAAGTGTGGTCTGTTAGAAGCTGTAAGGTAACTCATGTTCCAGGGGCTATTTAACATGAAAGGCTGGTCTGCAGAAAGGCTGTCCCACCATTCACCATATTAAGGAATTGGGATGTGCATTCTCACTGAAGTAGTTTTAGTATAAGAGTTTCTATCCTAAGCCTTACCTTGGGCCCCTGACTTTCTTGATATGTAACACATGCTGCTCCAATGTCTATTGGAATCTACAACCTTACATTTCCCATTTGTATTTAGATTCTGAATGGTGGAACTCCAGACATTCCTTCGGTTGGTTTACTATCTGGGCAGATCCAAGATAATTCTGGTTATCCCTATTCTGACAGTTCCTCCATTCTTGGTAAGCAAAGTCGCATGGTGGTTGTTTGTATATTTTAGCCTTGTGCACTATATAACTAACTCTTGCCTTTCTGAAGCATCCACTTAATCATGATATGTGCATTTGAGCTTTACATTATCTTTAGCTATATTTAATACCAGTTAACAGTCTTCAAGTAGAAAATTCCTAAATCTGTAGTGAATAGCCAGTATGAATAGCAGATCAGTCTAACTAGCAGCATGTGGGGGTGGATTGGGTAATGGGAAGTTAAAAAAACTTCAGAAATGCCCCAGCTAGCCATGATTATCAGCTCATTTATTTTGCGGCTTATTTTGTGCTGGTTGAAACAATGAATCTAGATCCCTACAAAGCAAAATTCTTAGGGTAAAATTGTTTTATGAAGATCTCCCCTGTACTATTGTTAAATGCATGTCTCCAGTCTTTGCTGCTCTTCTCAAAAAGGCTTTGGACCAGCTAAACATCTTTTCTACCTGCAGATGTTTGGATTCAACTGTTGTAGGTTAAAAGCCATATTCAGTTCATTTGATTGCCAACTCAAACCTAGATCCCAGTTTTCTAGAGTTGAAATAGCTCAGGCTCACAACCAGTGTGGGATATTCAGCACTTAATGTCCATAGTGGACAGGGTTTTTTTGGTTTTATGTATCCCCAACCCTTGTCCTCAGGACACGGTAACATTTTATCCATAAATGTTAAGGGCTTTTTTTGTTTTGTTTTGGTTTTTTTTGGGGGGGTGGGGGTAGAGGTTTGGTCAGAAATGAGGTCCCAGCTGCATCCTGAGCCAGGGAATGGGTTTGATAGCAGAATAGTCAGGCATTCTTTTGTCCAACCTCAATTTGAGTTGACATTTTTTCTGAGCAGTCACTTCCAATCTGCCAACTTTTCTAAATAGAAGCAAGCCAATATAATCACATACTTTACTTCAATTTCCTTGTATTACTTTCACAGGGGAGAACTCTCACATAAGCATAGATATGATAGACAATGACCAAGGATCAAGCAGCCCCAGCAATGATGAAGCAGCAATGGCAGTTATAATGAGCCTTTTGGAAGCAGATGCAGGTCTCGGTGGCCCTGTAGATTTTAGTGATTTACCATGGCCCTTGTAAATACTACACATTGCTTCAACAGCTGAATATCAAAGTGCATTTATTGGTGGAGTTCTACAGTCTGTGAAACTTGTTGGATTATGAGAAGCTTTTATGTCTGAATTTCATAAAAGCCATATCAGAACTCATCCTACCTTGTGTAATTTCAGACAAAGTGGAGAAACCTGCTACAGTGTTTTTGCATCATTGATTTGGTTAGCTGTGTATAGCTTGCATTACTTGTATATTTTGGATTTTTAAAAAAAAAAAAGCATTGTGAGACTTGGCACTGGCATCATTGGTAGCTTTTATATGCAAATGGTCATTTCAGATGTATGGTGTGTTTTTACACTACAAAAAAGTCCCCATGTGGATATTTCTTATACTAATTGTATCATAAAGCTGTTTATTCTTTATTGTAAGAATCCTTTACTATAAATATTGTTAAAGTGTAATGTATTAGACAGTTAAATATTTTTAAAAATAAATGTTTCCCTTGTTCTAAAATGGAGCATTTACTTTGATAAAATAAATTTGATAAAACCCTGCTTAAAAAAACATGCTAGAACCTATTTGATTGCCTACCATTTTTTTTTGGGGGGGGGGGGGTTTAAAA